TGGCGCCTACAGCCAATAAGGAGGGAATATGCAAATTGACACGACAAAGATGGCGGCGCCGGCCGGAGAGCGGGCGACCCAGGAAGCCAAGCCTGGCCGGAAAGCAGGAGAATAGGTGGGAAGGCTTGGCTTCCTGGGTCACCCCAGCGACCAAAGCAGGCTGGCAGGCAGAGTGGTTAGGGGAGATCAGGCAGGCAGGCAGGTGAACGGTTAGGAGCCAGCGTCCTGGATTGTGAGAGACAGGTTTAGGCCCGATCCCACAGGGGCAGTCAGACATCCCCCAAGGGGTCCCAGATTGGAGAGGGTGCAGGCCGGGCTGAGGGACACCCCCCCTCCCACTGGTGCACTGGGCCACTAGTATTGTTATAACTGTATTCCAGATGTTCAGGGAGCCAGAGGAAAGACTGAACAAGTTGAGACATGGAAGATGTATGTTTTGAATTCTTAGAAAACAAAACTATGATGCAAGAAATAAAAAAGAGAATAAACTGATAAAAATAATACTAATACCTATAAATAGCAGAATTAATTGATTTAATGAAAAAGTTGCATTAAACTGTTTTCCCCCCCACAACAAAGATAGCTTTCTAGCCAAATATTTATCAGCACCTAATCAAGACAGCTAAGCTGATCTGTGTTTAGTGTGTCCTGTGCCCAATTGGCTCCTCTCACAGCACCACCCACCTGGTTCCCATGTGACCAAGGGACCCTGCAGACTCGTTTAGACTCACAGATACAGGTAGGTGGCATGTCACCCTGCCCCGCCCACAACAATTCGAGGCTCACTTTGTCAAGAGGCGCTGACATTCTTTGAACACCTCCATTGGGGAAGAATCTGGCTTGTGCTCCAGCCAAGGGGACCCCGAAATCACAGCAACAGAGAGCAAGGCCAACAGATGTTCCAAGTATGCATGAAGAAGCCTTCTGGCCGGCGCTCCCAGCTCCTCCTTGCTCCCCTGTTTATTTTTGCATGCCATCTAGACAGGCGTGGAAAAGGAAAATGGATTTTGGGCTTCATAGAGCTCTCTTGTCTCATGTGGCTACAGTTTTTAGAATGTAGCATTCTAAAAACTATCCAGTACATAGAGTCTGCACTACAGGTGTGCCCCACTTTGAGAAAATAATGGGCGCAAGACGCAGCCACAGTCATTCATTAAAGAGCCTTATGTTTTCAGAAATGATGAATTGCATATGATTTTTAAACAGCAAATCCCTCGGTATACTTGATTCAAGTTAAAAAAAATCTGAACACAGGCAGCTTTTAGGAAAACATCTCTTCTCTAAAATGAGATAGACGTCTACATCCCTATTCGACTTGGTCCTGGCCAGCCTCTTACTTGAGAGCCAGGGCTTCAGTCACTATCATTAAAGGGACATGAAGCATTCACGGGTCCCTCAAAGAGCCTGGCTCATGGAAAAATATTTTTAAATGAAATTCCACAGGACTAGTGCAGGGAACTGAGCAAAGAGGAGGGAGGGAAGGCACCGGGCACATGGACTGAGTCCCTGGCTGCCGTCACCTCTGCTCAGAGCCAAGAGGACACGGGAATGAGGCTGTGTCTGAGGTTCAGAGCCAGCTGGAGGGAAGGTGCGCATGGCTCTGCACACTCCAGTGTGGAAAATGAAGGGAGCCTGAAAACACCGACAGAGGTCACCTCTGGAATGGCCCCACGTGGACGCAGGAAATGCACTGAAGGCCTTCTCAGGCTTCCTCCCTGTTTTTGTGACTTGGTTCTTGCTGACCCTGACACCACCGTTACTGCTACACAATCGCCAGCCAGGACTTGGTGGGATTCTCTGTTTGAGAGCTGGGTGGAAGGGTCTGAGGAAGGGTCTCTGACATGCTGAGCCTCCATGGGTGTCATCTTGTGCCTACTTCCCATCACATCTCTGTGCAAACCTCCCAGCTCAGGCACTCCTCCTGCAAGCCTCTCTTGAGTTGCTGCAGCCCTCAAACTGGAATTAACCCATGCCGTGCCAGGACTTGGTGGGATTCTCTGTTTGAGAGCTGGGTGGAAGGGTCTGAGGAAGGGTCTCTGACATGCTGAGCCTCCATGGGTGTCATCTTGTGCCTACTTCCCATCACATCTCTGTGCAAACCTCCCAGCTCAGGCACTCCTCCTGCAAGCCTCTCTTGAGTTGCTGCAGCCCCCAAACTGGAATTAACCCATGCTGTGCGGATTGAGAGGAGGGGCGGTTAATTCCAGTTTGGGGGCTTCAGTCTTAACACTTTGGATCTTGAATCATGATTCTGAGCCCATGTCTCTGCTCTCCTGAGCATACTCCACAGGGCAGTTGGGGTCTCATCCTGCCGCCTATGCCCAACGCACCCAGTCTATTCAGTATTAAATACTGTTCAAAGTACAAATAGGATTCTAGCCTTAGCCTTGCAAATAAGGGTGTCAGCTTTCTGTACCATTTCAAATAGCAAATGTGTGATGTTTGAAGGCAGAACAACATCATTATAAAAATGTGAAATAGGATCATGTCCATTTGGTTCAGCAAATAGTGTACTCTGTGAAAACCCTTTAGTTAACTAGCAACACCTATAACATTTACCTTTCAACGCAGTGACATTTATGTGCAAATATGGCATAAGGGTGCTCTTTAGTATCAAGGAGTTTAGAGGGTATGTCAGCGCGCAAACACACCACTTCCTGCCGATCACATCTGTGACCTCTGAGACACGCCACCAACACTTGCCTGTGATTGAATTATGATAATTACCTAGCCTGCTGTATATCTTTGTCCCCTCTCTCTAACTTAGGTCCAATGAACCCTGAGAAAAAAAGTTTAGGGGGGAAAAAATCTAAGGAAGCGGAAACTGTTTTTTAAAGCACTTATTAAGTCATGATCAAATAAAAGATGATTTTATTTTTTAAAGGATACATTTACATATCGATACATAAGCAAGACATCAGAAACTTCCAAAATAGAAAGCAGAGCCAGAACCATCACAGGCTTCGGTGACACTTGGGAGTCATCGGTCACCTATTTGGGAGAGAAAATCCCGCATTTCAATGAGACCACCTGGCATGCTGTAGAGTGAGTTCAACCTCTCTCATTAGGGGTTTTAGTTCAGGAGTCTCTTTTACATATCGATACATAAGCAAGACATCAGAAACTTCCAAAATAGAAAGCAGAGCCAGAACCATCACAGGCTTCGGTGACACTTGGGAGTCATCGGTCACCTATTTGGGAGAGAAAATCCCGCATTTCAATGAGACCACCTGGCATGCTGTAGAGTGAGTTCAACCTCTCTCATTAGGGGTTTCAGTTCAGGAGTCTATGTCTCCCTCTTCCGTGTATTCTGTTATGGTATAGGTTTGAGCGAAACTGGCATGAAAGGACCACTATTTAGAGTGATGGTTACAGAATGGATGGTTACAGAGTGGTGGTGGGTGGGGAGCAGGTAGGAAAAGGGGATATTTTCCCACCTGGCTCCTGAGGCCAACAATCCTGAGGGCTTTGGGGTCACAGGTTCCAAATGCAGGGTTGGCCACACCCCAGATCTTCAGCTTCTATTGGATACATCACTGTGAGCTAGATTTTAAAGTTCCTTTTTATTTTGATGGTAGTTGTATTTTTCAAATTTCTACATCCTATTGAATTTTCTGAATTGCTTTCTTTTTTAAAAATATCATTTTTAAAGTTCTCAATCTTCAAGATTCCAGATCAAGAGGGACTTTGGACCAAGACTGAGGGCAAACCAGCAGGGGGCAGTCTTTCCCCAGAGAGAAAATCTCAATGCCTTAACATAGATCAAGGCAAACTCTGATGGGCATGTGTGGGTGTGAGACTTTAGTGGTGTGAGCAATGGATGGAGAGGGCTAGCAAAGCAGGAGCTCAAAAACTCAGCGTGGCCTCATCCATACATACTCTTGACTCTCCAGGAGCTGTGATAAGACACTTGAAAAAGTGACTAACTATGCCCAACCCCTGGGCCATTCTTTAATGTGCTGTGGCTCAATCCAAACTGTGCACACACAGCCTTAAATACATCAGTATAGCTCATGGGCCTTCGTACTGTTGGAACTTAACACAGAAGAGACAGGCAGTAAAAATTTTACACGCACATGAATGAATTGCCAACGCCACTGCTGTGACAACAAATGATACAAGGGGCAAAGGCTGATCCTTTTGTCAGATGGCCTCAGAAAGATCAACTGAAATCAGTTTGCATAATTATCCAGTTGGGTTTTTTGAGGGCAGAGGGTGGTGGAGTTACAGGGAAGTGCCTCATCCATTGCACTGGGAGTGCCTGTCAGCGGGACTCTCCCCAGTACTGTCCCCCCAATCATGGTGCAGCTCTAATCAACTTGATGTAAAAATAGAATAGTCAGTCTAATGGCAGCCATTTTCATTCTGCCTTCTAACTATGAAAAATATGAGAAGAACTAGAGGCCCGGCGCACAAAAATTCGTGCACTGGCGGGGGGTGGGAGGGTGAGGGGGTGGAGAGGTGTCCCTCAGCCGGACCTATGCCCTCTCACAGTCTGGGACCCCTCGGGAGATAACCACCTGCTGGCTTAAGCTAGCTCCCTGGGTGGCGGTGACCCGGGGGCAGGCCCTGCTGGGTGCTGCCTGCGGGCAGCACTTTCCTGCTCTCGGATTGCCATGGGGTCCCGGCTGGCGGCGGGGCTTAGCAGGGCTTAGCCAGCACTTGTGGGTCCCGGCTGGGGGCAGGGCCGCACATGGGGCCCGGATGGCGGCTCGCACTGTCCCACCCTGCCTGCAGTATGCAAATTAGCCGCCATCTTTGCTGGCGGTTTATTTGCATATCGCGCTGATTAGCCAATGGGAGGCGTAGCGAAGGTGCGGTCAATTACCATGTTTGTCTATTATTAGATAGGATTTGAAGGAATAGTCAGAATAGTCAAACGGCAGCCATTTTCATTCTGACTTCTAACTATGAAAAATGTGAGAATTTGAATAGTCAGAATAGTCAAATGGCAGCCATTTTTATTCTACTTTCTAACTATGAAAAATGTGAGAAGAATCTGAAGGAAAAACAGGATGTTTTACTAAAAATTATTCTCAGGACACTGGAGCAGCAAGTCAAATACAGAAGGCCATTCTAGCAACGAGGCCAGGGGACCTATTGGGGAGAGGGATGAAGGAGGTTTCTGTTTTCATGCTGGATTCGGAGGTGAGGAGCCTAACTTTCCACAGGCTCATTGTCCCCACAGAGTGAGCACAGCGAAGCTTGTTGGGATCCTAAGTCACTGCTTCCATGGCCCAGGCACTGGAGCGCAAAACAAACTTTGTTAACTACAGGTATACTCATTTTTGAGAAAATTGTGGCTACTTGTTCCTTACTCCTAACAAATGGAGAGGACCCTGTGAGAGAGCCTGTGGTGCTTGCGTAATGGTCACCTTCCTGGTCTCCTGAGGACACACCCTCGGTGTGAAGGCTGTTGTGTTTGGTTGGCTTGTTTTCCCAAAAGAGGCTGATGTTATTCTTGCATTAATTACCCTTAAAATTGCCAAGAGATAAGAGGTGGGAAGATGGAAAGGGGGGCCCTGATTCTATTTAGTAGATGAGAAATACAGACTCTCAGAAAGTAACAGAAATGGAGGAGTCGTGTCAGGATGAGGCAATGTCCTGAGGGTGAGTCCCTCGTGTCAGGCTCCTGGGAGGAGTATGTTCTCTGTCCCTCCACTGGTCCACCTTTACATGTTGATGAAAGTTTGTAAGAAGCAAAAAAATCTGCAGATGGCCAGAGTGCACATCCCAAGTCACTCTGAAGCAGGAGAGAGCAGGATACTCGGAGAAGCCCAGCTGTGCCTGCTTTAATGAAGGTTAAGCCCTCCTGCCTGGAGCAGTGGGAGCAGCCAGCTGCTTCCTTGGGTCAGGAGTGCAGTGATGGCACCTGGAATCCCGAAAAATGTACAAACAAGGAGGAGCAGATCCCTGTCTCAATATTCACGCCTACAAAGATGGGGACGCGTGAGGGGAGCAGGCCCTTGCCTAAAACCTCACAGCTCTGTGCCCGCCCTTCAGGGCATCACAGTGAGGTCTGCAGCGCTCTTACCACCCAAGCGGGCAGCCCGATTTGATCATACTGACAAGAAAGTCACCCTAAGGAATGCCCTTCCACAGGGTACCTCTCGGACCAAAGATCCCAGTTGGGAAGTGAGACTCGCTGCTGGGCCGGGTCATAACTGGGAAGAACGCTCCACCTCCAGTCGCCAGACCTACCATCTCTCCAGAGCCCAGTGGGGCCTGTGGTTGTTCCTAAATCACCCACTATTCCTGCCAGCCCCTGACTTGGTCTAGAGTCCCAGCTAGCAGACAGGGCGGGGACCTTCAAAGAACCCGACAGTGGGTTTAGCCTGGCGTGACCCTTCCAGACTAGAGGCTCCCACGAGACAACTTCCCTTTCACACAGCACCGGCATTTATTATGGGTATCAGCAAAACAGACATATGACTTAAAGGGTTTTTTTCAAAATAAAATGTGTTGTCAAGACTTGTCCACCCAACAGCTTTCCTACGACTTGGCTCTTGTCCAAAGGGCTAATCTCCAAGTGCCTGAGGCTCAGAGCAATCCCAGAAACCTGTGCAGCATGGGCACAACGGTGGTGGCACAGATGCCAACCGACGTGTAGGTGACAAACTTGTAAGGCACTTCGATCTCCAGCCTCCGCCGGGCCTCCTTGTTCCTGGTGACCACCTTGAACCAGGAGTATAAGACTTGCAGCGAGAGATTCTGTACAACTTGACGAACCAGGAGGATCAACACAAACCCCACCATAAATTTGGTCAGACCCAGAACCAACATGCCAGCGGTGAGCGGGGGGATGTGCTGGATGACAGGCAGAGCCTCCGTGGGCTCGGCCATGAGCTGGAAAAAATGGTTGATCCAGAACCCGATGGTCACCCCAGCCCCGGCGGCCATGATGGTGGTGGTGTCCGCCCTGGTGGGGCTGTAGTACTCAGACACGGGGTAATTGTAACACAATAAGAACGGCACCACGATGGCACACACGGGGAAGAGGGGGCTGGCCGAGTCCAGGCGGTCGATGAGGGTCCAGGCGGGGTAGGTGAGGACGATGAGGACCGCGGTGATCAGGATGCCGCCCAGCACATCCTGCGGGGGAGAGAAAAGCCAGTGAGTGCTTCCCTGTGTGCGGGCAAACTTTTGAGTCAAATATGGTTGACATACTTAAAATGCACAATTTTTACATAGTTTTATTTTTTAATACGTTTGAAAAATGGAAAGTGGTAAAAATTGTAGGAAAGATACAATAATCACGCTATTCACATCATGCATTTTCTTCCAGTGTTTCTGTCTTTTGGAAGAAATTCTGTGTTTGTTTTCTTAATGCGTAGCTTTGATCACATTGTTCCTTCAATCTGCTATTATTTTTTATTTAAATTTATGACAAGCACTGCCATGGTCTTCACAGAGGTGGCGCCATCCTCCCCTGGTGGCCGGGCTGCAGCTGCAGCTGGAGGGGGAAGGAGCCACAGTCACACAGCAGCAGCCACTCCTTGTTACCTACAGGGCTGTTTACCTGGGGTGGTTTGAGGAGTCGTTTTGGCTGTGGTGGTACCGAAGCTCCACCAGGACACAAACTCACTGAGTGGCTGTGAGTTTTTCTTTTTCCTTTAGTGTTCACATTGCAAACTTCATTAGAAGATGAAGTCAATGTAATTAATGGACGAATACGTCTAAGCCAGAATAAGGAGCTTGCTATGGTTTTGTTATAGTTTCATGTGGATTATTTTTGAGAGTTTACGGTTGAAAAATGTAAAACGTTTCCCCCAGCGCATTGGAAAATCTGGAAGACACCAGAAAGTAACACATATGCATTGTAGATAATCTGGGAAACACCGAAAAGTGTAAGAAAAAAGTAGATCCTTCATCATTTCTCTTGGAATTCTTGGAAGGAGATGTTCTTTCTTCTTTTGAACACTGTTCCCTGTGGATTTACACCCTTTTATTTAGCAGACCTTTAATATTTCCACTACCTAGAGCCAACCTTGTCTATATTCTGGCATCTTGCTTTCCACTCTTTTTTCATATATATATATAATAGAGTTCTAAAGGCTTGGTCTTTCATTTTATAATAACTTCATTATTTCTCTTGCTTAGTTCCTAATGACATCGCGAACAAGGGGTGAGAATTAAACCTTAGGAAAACTCACCGAGGCTACAGTAAATTTCAGGATGAGTGGGCCTGAAATTCTGTAATTCAAGAGGGAATGAGGCTAGTGTGTGTGGATCTTGGTGATCCTTTGGGGCTGGAGAATAGAGAGCAAACACAGGTCGGAGACACTTCGGACAAGATCCTGAAGTCTGATCCACTCCATGAGGACTGCATGTGGGAGCAAAGGGGAGCCACTGAAGTAGCTCTCACTGGGTACCAGCTTAAGAAGACTTTCACCTTTATAGGATCATTCTGACCTCAGTGAGGAGAACAGATTGGGGAGACCGCCTGCCTCCTCAGAGGAAGCCTCGTGGCCCCACTGTCTCCACATGGCACCTGGGCTTCACCTGCTCTTTCTTCCGCCACCATCTTTCTCCTCAATGATCCCCATGGTCTCCTTTCCCATGATTCCTTTCCCCATGCCTATTCATATGCACTGATGTTGACTTATTTTTGAAAAAAGGAAAACTCCTTCATTTAAGCATCCTGGTTACCAAAATTAAGTCACACTTTTGGATTAAATGTCTGTACCAGTTGCCTCCACTTCCTCAATGTGAAACACAGTGCTGTTTAAATTCCTAGACTTAGAATACACCATTTTCTAAGGCCACCCAGACACTTGGTGGTTGTTTTTTTCAGCATCTATGTCTTTGACCAAAGAGCCTCATATTTTCCCTTGGGAATCCATGAGGTTCTGGGAAATTATGGAATTGGGGCACATGACCTAGGTAGGCCAATCAGTGCACTGTATCTCCTAGTGGCAGTGATCAGTATAGGAGTGGTTACGTGACCTAGGCTAGCCCAATTGGAATGAGTTGTAGGGCTTTGACTTGGAATTCTTGGAAGGGGACAGTCTTTCTTCTTCTGAACACTGTGACCTGTGGATTTACACCCTTTTATTTAGCAGACCTTTAATATTCAGTTTTTATTAATGTAACCCTGCACCAGCCTAGCTCTTCTCTGACCCTTAAGAAGTCTCTCCTTTAGATCTTTCTCCTGTTTCCACATCCTAAACATGGGCATTTCCTTAGATTCTGTCTTTAAGCCTTGCGTGTTTTCTCCCCTGAAGAGTTAGTATGGGCCTACCTTCCATTATCTGTCAGTGTGACTCTCATATCCATGTCTTCAGGTGTCTCTCGCAAACTTTAGTCCTGAACTTGTTAACAGAATGCTAGACATTTTTTAAAAATATGTTTTTATTGATTTTATAGAGAGGAAGGGAGAGGCATAGAGAGATAGAAATATCAATGGGAGAGAAATGTCATTGATCAGCTGCCTCCTGCAGGATCCCTCACAGGGGATTGAGCCTGCAACCAGGGCATGTGCCCTGACCAGGAATCAAACTGATGATCTCTGCTGGGTTGATGCTCAACAGCTGAGCTACATTGGCCGGGCCAGAATGCTAGACATTTTCACCCAGAGGCCCCATGAGCCCCACAAACCAACTTGTCTAAAATAAAAATCACCCACAATCAAACAGAAAAATGAGTAAAGGAAGTGAGCAGTCTATAGAAAAGGACTATGGACACCCCTTAAACAGATGAAAATGTACCTAAACTTACCCATAAAGAGATTTATGATGAGGATAAATTAACACTTATATTCAACCAAAAATTGGACATGAATATTTAAGCAGTTCTATTAATAATCACCAAAACCTGGAAACAACCACAATGTCATTCAGAGATGAATAGGTAAACTGTGCTACAACCATACAACGGAATATTTCTCAGCAATAAAAAGCAACCAACTACGGATGCAGCAACAGCTTGAAATCTCCAGGAAATTATGCAGAGAGGAAAAAAACAACCTCTCAGGGCTACATACTGTATGGTTCTATTTGTATGAAATTCTCTAAAAGATGTACCTATAGTGATGGAGATGGGATCAGTAGTTGCTAGCGTCCAAAAGTGGGGGAAGTGTGTGACTACAAAGGGATAGCATGAGGGAGTTTTTTTGGGGTGATGGAACTATTTTGTATTGTGGGTGTGTCTACCCAAATCTATGTGTATTAGAATCCACAGAACTATACACCCAAAACAGTCAATTCCACTGTTAATTTTTTAAAAAAATTAAAAATTACATTTCAAACAACAATTAAAAAGCTAGTGATCTCTTTCTTTGGCACTGAGTAACACTTCTGAGTGAACTGCTGCTGAGTGTAAAGTAGTGTGCTGGACTCTGAGGTTCCCAACGTGTTCCCTCCTCACCCCCACCCCATGCTGAGAATGTGCCCCTCGCCTACCATCGTTAACAATAATCTGCAGGTGTGACAACATCCTGTTGATGAAACAGGGGAGGGGAAAAGGGACTGTCTATTAATCATATGAATGCAAAATGGCACAACCCTTATAGGGAGGAACTTGGCGATATTTTTTTAAATTACAAGCTCATTTAACCTCTGACCCAGAATCTCACTCTGGGACTGGACCACACGGATACACCTGCCCACATCTGAAATGAGGCATTTACAAGCTGTCAGCTGTAGTTTGCTTATAACGGCAAGAGACTGGAAACACCCAGTTCCACTTGTAGGAACCAGTTCAATCTACTCATGGCACGCTCACAGGTGGGAGCTCTGTGGCTGGAAAGGAGGAGGAGGCTCGGTTGTGAAATTTTAAAAAGCATGATGTAGCCCAGTGATGGCGAACCTATGACACGCGTGTCAGAGGTGACACGCGAACTCATTTTTTTGGTTGATTTTTCTTTGTTAAATGGCATTTAAATATATAAAATAAATATCAAAAATATAAGTCTTTGTTTTACTATGGTTGCAAATATCAAAAAATTTCTATATGTGACACGGCACCAGAGTTAAGTTAGGGTTTTTCAAAATGCTGACACGCCGAGCTCAAAAGGTTCGCCATCACTGATGTAGCTCATCTGGTGTGGCTCAGTGGTTGAGCATTGCTCTATGCACCAAGAGGTCACGGGTTCAATTCCCAATCAGGGCACATACCTGGTTTCGGGCTCTATCCCCAGTAGGGCATGCGGGAGGCATGTTTCTGTCTCCCTCTCTCTTCCTCTCTTTCTCTCAAAATCAATAATAAAACACCCTAAGGCAATGCTGATGTTAGTGAGTCCCAATAGGAAACACTGAGAAATAGTAGCCTATCAATCAAGGGTCAGAGTCCTGCGTGCTATGGGTTGGCTTAAGTTATCATTCCAGGGTTTCTCTCACTACTTTCCAATCTGAACTTTCCACTGCAGCCACACAGGTCTACTTGCTTTGCCTAAACGTGCCTCGTGCAGTTTTATCATCAAAGCTTTGCATTCCTTTTATGTGTAGCGCACTTGAACCCTATCAAAACCTTATCAATTCACGTAAGGCTTCAGGTATCACCACAGTTGCAAATAACCTCTCCCTGAACTGCACGTGAAGGCACTTGCTCACTATCACTCAAAAGGCCCTTCCCTTATATTGCCTTTGCTGCAGGTCCTAAGTTCACAGGCTTTTCCCGAATGGGTTATACCCCGGCCAGTAAAGACGAGCTCTCCTGCATGTATGCACGATTCCTCATTCCCAGCACAGTGCCTAACACACAGCAGACATTCCGTCGTCGTGACTGGAGAATTTAGTGCCCTTCTCTTATCCTGCACATCCAGAGTATTTAATATGCACTGTTCCAATACATAAAAGAAAAATTGCCTTCCCTCTCTGTCTTCCTCTGTAATTGCAGTTATCAAATTCCCAGGCATCTGGTTGGAATATTCATTCTACAACGAATTCTGTTCATCTTCAATACACCAGGAGACCAGACTATTTTGGCCCACAGATTCAGCACTTAAGCAAAAGTACTTTTAGTCAGTGTGGCTGCTGGTGTAGTTTTTTTCCTTCTAGCCACACAGTTGGATTTTTAGCCATAAAAGGCGATAAAAAGACATTTAGGTATTTCTGTAAGGAAAATACTTGAACCATCGCTCATGAGATTTCTAATTTGGGGCTCTAAGTTTTTAATAACAAACTATGCTAAAAGGCTTCTAAAAATAGGAACTGTAGTGCTTGAAACTTCTTGAACAACTTTTACATGAATTTTTTTCAAGCTACTAAATTCACAGAAACCATAAAAGCTCACAAATCTCCAACCTGGAATTGCATCTGCTGTTTGGTTTCTGGCAGATTTGAAGTCAGGAGGTGATTTCTTTGGAACTGCACACCTGGTCATGTGTTTGGCACAATAAACCAAAAATGAGATTAAAATGCGTACTGCTTTCTTATCTAATGACATAGCAGGAACATTTTCCATTTGAAAAGATACTTTTCTGCAATTTGTTTTTGTGTGTGTGTGTGTGTGTGTGTGTGTGTGTGTGTGTGCGCGTTTGTGTTTGTTTCGAAGTAACCAGCCATAAATGAGATATATTGAGCATAATTCAAACTTTACACAAAGGATGACCCTAACTTTATATGGTATATAGCTGCATGCATGGGTAAGACATCAAAAAGAAATAAACTAAAATGTTTAGTACTTTTTTCTGTTTGTATATTACAGGTGATGATTATCTTCTCCATGCTTTTCAGTATTCTCTAAATTTTCTAGTTAACGCCTATTGGTTTTATTATAATAAAACGTAATCAAAGAGAAGAAATCAGGATGTTAAAATCAGAATGTTTCAAAATGGACAAAAATAGAAATAACAAATACTTATAAGTTTTCATATCATGCCCAAAATTGAAATGCCCCCAAGAATCTATATGATAAGCAACACATCATTGCCCCATGATGTAAGTAACATTTAAGACAAAAGCACACAAAAGACGTTGCCAGTGCTATCCTACAGATCACATTGTTTGAAATATAATCAATCTTTAATTCAACTTACCATTCAATGTTCAAAGACTTTCAAATTATTTAAAAAGAAATCAAATTATTTAAAAAAGAAACTAACATTTTCTAAAGATAAGATGCAGAAAGATCTACATCCCTTTGATTATTGTACCTACTGTCATTTCGTTATAAAACTTAGTATTCAGATAAAAGCTTGAGCTTTATTATATCTCATTTCAGAGAACAACAATATAGACAAAAGTGTCAGGAAAGAATGCTAATAGAACCATCCCAAGCATCAGGACAAACGTTAGCAAATGCTTATATCAATACATAAAATAGTGATATTAATTCTTAGTGAAAAGAACACTCATTTTGGTAAACACCTCTAGATATTTCAACAGCAGGCCCTCACCTGGAGAACTCCCAGAATTTGTGAATTCTGACTCTCCATCACAGTCCCATATGCAGTTTACAGCGACAAATTTACATTCTATCTCCAAACACCTTCCCTGAAGAATGCTTTTGAGCGACCAACACAACGCAGGATTAGCTAAGGAGAAAGAAGGGGCCCCGAACCAACCCATTCATTCAATTGTTAGGAAAGAATGCATTCAGATCTTGGAACTATTTATGCTGAAAACTCTATGATTCGGGCATCTTCCCCTCTGCTAGGTCCCCTGCTGAGAACGTGAAGGGCCCTCTCTGCCCTTGGCTGCCTTTATGTAGCGGCTGAAGCCAGGAGGGAAGTAAAAGCCAGGACCCGCTTCTTTGTAGATGCAGTGAGAGCTCTGAATTCAAGCAGACCCTGACATTAAAACAACAACAAACCCCCCCCCCAAAAAAAAACACCAAAAAACCCTTACCCCCAAACACTGTAATTATTCTAGAAAATAATTTGAAGTTATAGACCAGTCAATGTTTCCTAGTTGACACACTCCAATACTCTTTTCCATTCCAGCTCACCATTGATTGAATTTCTGAGAATAATGCAGATGAGATTCAATAGAAGCCAAATGGCAAGATGGGTGCATTGTTCATGAATATGAATATAAATGATTGTAGAGAGAAACATACAGGTCACATAATTAGCATATGTATAGGAGAGACAGAGTGAATGCCTATGTTCAAAAATATTAATTTCCTATTGAAACACACTGATGTCCACAGGGTCAGTCAGGAGCAGGAAGCACATGGTGTAAGCGTGAGCAGCAGAATTGCCTGATACTCATGGCTATGTGTGGACGCAGTCCCTGTGCCCCTCTCTCTGTGTCACTACTTCTCTGAACCACCTCAGATATCTGAGCACAAATCTAGGGCTCGGGATCACTAGGCATGGCCATCTATAGTGATAAGAAAGCTTTGAAAAAGACTCTTTGAAAACTCACTGAAGCTCTGGAGTAACTATAAGAGTTAGAAAAAGCATGCCAGCTTTCACCTTCTGCGATTTGAGAATGAATGCCTGCTTGGAGACCGAGCATATTTAAACCTTCATTAAAAATCATGGTGACATGCTCTGGCCGGGCAGCTCAGTTGGTTGGAGCTGCACCAAAAGATTGCGGGTTTGATCCCTGGTCAGGGCACATACCTAGGTTGTGGGTTTGATCCCTGGTCGGGGGGTGTACGGGAGGCAACCAATTGATGTTTCTCCCTCTTTCCCTTCCTCTCTCTCTAAAAATCAATTTAAAAAATATATCCTCGGGGAGGATTAAAAAAATTATGGTGACATATTAACAAAAATAGATGTCTACAAGTGTGTTATGAAGAATTATATAAAACTTGGATATATGACAACAATATTTCAAGGTCATATGGGGCAAAGGATTATAGAAGGGAAAGTACTTTGTTCAACTCACTGTTTACTATGGATTAAAGGTCTCAGATTTAGTGAAGTGACAGCTGATAGATCTTTGTTTGGTAGAGATGCAAACAATTTCTGTTCAGTGGAAATTATAACGCCAAAGGTTACAGTCTGTAGGACAGTAATTAGTTTTGTATACAGCCCAGCAATCTTAATATAATATTTCTTTATTAAATGATATGTAAATATTTAGTTCATCTTTACTCTTATTGGCCCCTTCACTAATTAATGAGTTGAATGAAGTCTCTGACACCGACTCGTTTTATATTTGGGCAAGAGTATGATTTTACCATTTCAAGATTATACTCTAGCAAGTAGAGATTTCAATGTTTATTCATATGACTAATTATCTTAAATGATTGAATATGCATATTCCATATGACAACAATTACCAGTTTTATCTTGTTTTCTTTTTTTGTTTTATTTAATGGCACTGATGTGCTAAAAGAGTAAATAAGGCAGGTATTTTGCTTCTTAATATGATGATATAAATAAATATTATCCCATGTTTTTATAATATTAACTAGAAAGATATTTAGCTATACTACATATTTCTAAATTCTGTTCCATTTACAGCATGATTTAGGACATAATCACTTTCTTGTCTTGGCTTCACAGAAATCTAAGTTCAAACAGTAGAGCTTCATGAAACACACAAAATTTCCCCTCGCCGCCACCCCCCCCCTCCCGTATAATTCACATGAATATGAACAGCTCTAGCTATGATGAATCACAGGGTGTGGGAGGCCCAGGGGATTGGGACATCAGCTCCAACAAGCTGCCAGGCAGGTTATAACATCCTCATCGACACCTGCTCAGCAGCCTGCAGGAATGACAAGTGCGGGGAAGGGCAATCTGCTAGAAGACACAGCCAAACATCTCAGCGATGCTTCTCAACTCTGGTGGGCAGAGGGCCTCTGAGCAACCAGAGGCCAGAGGAAAGTCATGTTCGAGGGGATGTAATTGTTGAACAGGCCCGTGCAGGTTGAAATTTAATTGGCCTTGTTCCTATATTTGCTGGGATGTGAGCATAGACGGTTTCCATGCTTTTCAAACTGTATCTCACATTAGAATCTGTGGGAAGCTTGTTAAAATGCAGGTTTTGGTTTAGCAGGTCCAGGTGGGGCCTGAGAGTCTGCATTTCTAACCAGCTCCCAGGTGATGCTGAGGTTGTGGTCCTGGGACCCCATTATGAATGGCAAAGACTATCTCACCTCGCTGAATCGCAGAGGCCAATGCGGGCTCCTCATTGAACGTGGTGGTCTGAGCTTCCAGAGTGATTTTTTTTTTTCAACACATAAAATAACAAACACCTCTGAATGACAGGAATTCCGTACTTAAAAGTGATAGAACCACCTTTGAAAATCCTGAAGTGATATTCTGATGTAGAAACACTGATGCGTAAAGCAGTGTAAGAGAAAGACCTGAAAATCTGGCAGACCCGGTGACGTGGGTCTCACACTGCAAGCAAAAGTAAATCCTCCCAGTCCTTTATCCCTGACCCGGGGCATGTGGGCCTGAACCCTTGAGGCCTGGCTCTCTGTGCAAAAGCAGAACTCCCTGAGCGAATGCTTTGCAGCCTGGATCACACTAGGACACTTAAAAATATCAGTGCTGCTCTGCAGGCCATCCTAGCAATGTCAAAGCTGGCTGTGCAATGTCTTTGATGAGGCTGGACGACCTCAGTGACAGAGACTATCACTTCCCTGTCATTTGCGTCGGGATGGATATTAATTCTGGTGATAAATTAGTTCCCTTTTCAATCAGACTTGGGAGGCAGGGTTATAGCAACTAAAAAGAATTTTACAAATCAGTGATTGGTGAATTTTTAAGTTGATTCCCCAAACATTAAAAGGACAAAAACCATAAGCTCTTTGAAACCCATGCAACTGGCTGGTACTCTAGGAAATAGAATTCTATGCCATTTTAACTGTGCCAAGTGTGGCAGCCTGGGAAAAAAATCCCTAATACCGTAAAAGGGTGGACAGATCTTTAAACGCAGGTGATCCTATTTGAGCAGTAACCCAAATAGCTAAATATACTTACCATTAAGGATTAAACAGGAAAGAAGACCATAACCACTAAGGCCTTATGAAAACTGTTGCACCATGTGGGCTACAAAGAATCTTTTAAGGAGGCCCAGGGGCCTGACAATGAGTATATAAATGAATGTGTATCTCTGTACTCCCACCACTTCCAGCTGAGGACAGTACCAAAGGATTCTGGGCTCTTCCGACCTGGCAGGACCCTTATCCTACAAGGGCAGCTGAGACCTCTGAAATTCAGGCCCATCTCTGCAAGGACCTAAGTGGGGAACTGCATCCACTCATCCCATCCTTGGCCCTGGGTGTTTTCCCTGCACTGCTTGCTTCATCAGCAGTAAACCAACATGAAAATAAATGACGCAAGTCTCTGTCACTGTTCCAGCCCATCTTCAAAGTCACGAGAATCTAGCCCAGCTCAGCCTCCTTGATATTATCTTAATAATTCATTACCATTATTATGGATGTGCCATAAAATAATAATTACTTAACTCACTGGCCTGATGAAAAATGTAATTACATATGCAAACAGCTTTATAAAAAATACCGTGTGAAGAACACACTGACACACCAGCCACAATATTACGTAGACCAGTGGTTCTCAACCTTCCTAATGCCGCGACCCTTTAATACAGTTCCTCATGTTGTGGTGACCCTCAATTTCATTGTTACAAATTGAACATATTTAAAGCATAGAGATTAATCACAAAAACAATATGTAATTATATATGTGTTTTTCGATGGTCTTAGGCGACCCCTGTGAAAAGGTCATTCAACCCCCAAAGGGGTCGCGACCCACAGGTTGAGAACCGCTGACGTAGACGATCACCCCAAGACCCAACCAAAATGTCTTACCAGGACCGTGTGCATCCCCGTGTAGAGCCTGCTGAGAGATACCAACGTGGAGAACGTCACAGCCATCACCAGCCCCAGAGCGAAGGGATACTGTGGGGAAGAAAGGCAACAAGGGCTTGATCTCGCGTTCTCACACACACACACAGTCAATGCGATAGAAGGGAACAGGACTCCTGATCCAGTGACTGCTGTCTCGACCTCGCATGCCCTAGGCCAGCGGCCTGATGACCTGAGACACGTGGAAAAGGGAAAACAGAGGGAAGAAAGGGCAAGATGCCTGGGGATCTAGTTCTGGGAGGAAGTTTCACAACATGAGACCTAGCAGAACGGGGCTTGAAGACTCATGTTCACAGCTATTGTGCTGGCTGCATCAGTGGAGTAGATAATTATTTATTTCCACCTATGCTTAGAGTAAAACATATGAAGTATACAGTGCTGATTAAGGGGCCAGACAGACAGCGCTAGGATCGGGAAGTCCAGTCACCTACTTCACATGTGCTGCCGTGATGAAGCTTGGCAGCAATGGGCCCAGGCTAAGAATGGACATATCTATGCCCAGATGTCAAGGCAGAATCAACTTTACTAAATCTCAACATTTGCTGGTGGGATAGCTGACCAAGGAATGTGGCTGGTGCCAAATCATATAAGAACATACGAATATTCTGCTTATGAACTATACATAGAGATATAACCCATGTGCTTCCAGGTCTAATGTCTGTGGTCTCCCATGGAGAAGAATAAAGACACTGGAGAACTGCCTATATTATGCAAAGCATTTTATAGTCACAATCTCATTTCATCTTCACCCAATTCTATGAGGTAGGTTCTATCATTAGCCACATTCTACAAATGAGGAAACCCTTGATCACAACAAGTTATATTAGTATTAAACTTGAGCACAAAGATGCTTCCCCATCAATCATCATAGTTGATCCTCTGAATAGGAGCTGGGGCTCAGAGAGGCAAAGTGACTTTCCCAACGTCACACAGCCAGAAGTGACAGAGTCAGAACCAGAAGCCACACCTTCTGAGCCCAAGTCCAGCACAGCCTTTCCAACATAACATGTGGGTACAGAGATACTTGGCTATATCTCATTTCTTAAAGTTTATCATTAACTGGGTGTCAGTTTTTCATCAAAAGTGTGCTAAAATTGAGTCAATGCATTCTGAAATTAGAGTCTGGTATTAAGCTCACTACATATTTGTACAAATGAATCCCATATTTAGTGTTAGTTAGGAGCAATACCTCAAGTAGCTAAATATATTTACCTCTAAAGTTAAACAGGAAAGAAGACCATAACAACCCAGGCCTTATGAAAACTGTTGCATCATGTGAACTAAAAGAATTTGTTTAAAAGGCCCAGGTGACCTCAAAACGAGCATATAAATGGTGGTGGCATTGGTATCCCTGCGGTGAGCCTCTACTTGCTGTGTTTGGTTTTTTTTTTCCCCCAAAGTCACATCAGCATGTTCATAGGCCTCTCTGGAGATGGCCTCAAAACGAGCATATAAATGGTGGTGGCATTGGTATCCCTGCGGTGAGCCTCTACTTGCTGTGTTTGGTTCATCAGCATGTTCATAGGCCTCTCTTGTCTTCTTCCAACCCCACCAGGCTGACCCACCATGCCTGTACACCCTGGCATATAGAATGGGTTTCTTGGGTGTGGGGACAGGGCGAAACATTGCTGTCATTTATGAATAGGACTGCTAGACTTCATGAAATCTACCTTCTCCAATGGATCAAAGGGAAAATTATGAAATTAAACAAAACTAGGGCAAGAGTTCTCAGACAGGCAAAACAGAACTTCATTGTAGGAATAATCTAACTTTTGAAAGGCTTGACATAATTGGCATGTAAGCAGATATTAAGTGAAATTCTTCTGTTTTCAGCATTTATTAAAATCTCCTATAATTTAGACCATTTTCTAGAAAAAATGGAGCCATTACTTCTAATGATTGAGCCCCAATCAGGGGCAGAGGCCTCCTTGGGAGTGGAGTCATTTGGGGCACAGACTCTTTGCCCCTGGCCCTGGGAAGTCTAGCAGGAGGATTTGGTGAACTCATCTCAGCCCTGGGGGATCATTTACTAGGATCATAAATGCCTCGTGTCTGTTGCAAACAGGATGTGAACACCCATTCAAGTGCTGTCTCGTCAGGCAGTTCAGGGGGAAAATGCTTTCTGAAGGGGGCGTCCACACACCCTGGTTCCCAGACAGTCCCTGTTATGCTGGTGTCATTATTAATGGTGTCCACTTTCGTTCTTAGGCACAGCCTGATTTGGATGCTAAATCGTAGGTCACTTTACTTAGGAAGACATTGTCATCAACAGCTCACTAGGTTTCAGTTCTTAGCCTTCATTTCATGAACCTCAAAGTCCCTCAAAGCAGCTTTGGAAGAAAACTCTGAAGTGGAACCTCTCTCTGTCCCCTCATTGTGTGGAGAGCCTCCCCCGGGAGGGGGAGGAGTCAGGCGCCTTACCTGGTATCTGTGCATCGTGGAGATGAGGAGGGTGAAGGAAATGGCGGTGGCCGCCATGGCATGGGTAGATGGCATTCCATACTCAGCAATCACTCTCTTCTCCAGTTTCACCACCGGAGGGGAGAAGGGGCGGGGCCACTTCAGGATATCCTTGGCCACCTGGCCAATGTACATCACCAGCTGCAAAACCAGAGGACCGAGGTGAGTCTAACTAGACAAGTAAAAATCAATGAACGTCTACGCTCCACGAATTTGTTTCGGGTTTCCCTGTGTGTTGGCTGAAAAGCTCTTTCTTTCGGACCCAGCTATCAGCTGGGAAAGGCTTTCAGAGTGATATTTAATTGGCAAAAAGAGAAATAGGCCTTCTGGATTCCACAGAGCAACTAAGACGTGGCATGGACTCACTTTATTTTAGTCATATATTTAACAAGCATTTATACAGCTCGGAGGTGTGCCGACCACTGTTCTAAGAGCTTTACAGATGTTACTTACCTAATCCAGTAATATCTGTAGAGCACAGACCCATTTTACAGGTGAGTAAACCACCGTATTCCGTCAGTAAATGGTGGGACTCATTGGATTAGAATCCAGAGAGTTTGGCTTCAAACTCTGTGCCATGACCATGTGATAGTACTTGTCCAAGCACAAGATGGTCCCGGACTAAAGACCATCTGATGCTCAAATCAGCCAGCCATTGTTTTCAAGTTTTAACCAGAACAGTGATTGTTCTATGGATCTTCTAGCTAAACATTTTTTTTTTTTGCTACTGTTACTCCTGTTATAGGTAGGCAACATACTGGATTTAATTTAATTTCATTCAATAATCAGAAGCATTGCCCTCGCCTGTGTGGTTCAGTTGTATGAGCGTTGTCCCATGCACCAAAAGGTTGCTAGTTTGAAGGGCACATGATCCGGTTGCAGCTTGATCCCCAGTAGGGACATGCAGGAGGCAGCTGATCAATGTTTCTCTCTCACATTGATGTCTCTCTCTCTCTCTCTCTCTCTCTCTCTCTCCCCCTTTGTCTCTCTCTAATCAATAAAAACATATTTAAAAAATGAAAAAAGAAATCAGAAGCATCAGTAAAATAAATGTCGTATTTTCAGCCCCAAATAAGACAACTGAATCTGGAGTTTCTTCAAATGACTGTTTCATGATGCCATGGATGAAGAAAGTTCCACTCCCTTCCTTTTTTTCTTAAAGCAGAAGACAGAAATAAGAATTTTACTTCTAAGCCCTCCAGAAATGAACAGGACTGTTAACAACAGACTTGTTTTGTCAGAGAGCTTTACAAGAAGACAATTTCATGATCTGTTATAAAAGAGGAAAAAGCAAACCGTTTGCTTAAGTGACTGCATCGGCGGCCTCTGCACCACACAGGTGCTGTTTTAAAATGCAGATCCCAGGCCCCAGCCCCACCTACTGAACTGGAGCCCCCATTTCCACAAGACTCCTGGGTGGGTTGTGCGCACAGGAGAACTTGAGAAGCCCTGCTTTCCACGGTATGCTTGCACAGGTCACTGTGGCAAGGGCTTTAATTCTAAATTTTCTCGTCTTACCGTGACTGTATTGATCTTACTAGGGCTTCATTTATCTGGTGATGGATGGGTTACCTTGCTTTGAAACAAAACCCACTATGGGAGGACTAGTTCAAAATAACCTTGATTAGTCAGCCAGCTTGCCTTAGGGTTTCCCACATTCTGATGCTTCCTTTTAGCTCTTTTAGTTGCCGGTTAATTCCTGAGCATTAGCCCAGCAGAGTCAGTAGCCCCAGAAGGCACTGCATGTGTTTTGTGCTCCACTGCCACTTTGCTCCGGGTTAAAAACCAAGAGCCACTGTCTGTGCACAGCAGGCCGCATCCACAGGCTTTAAAGCCTCAGAGACAATCACTCCGGATTCCATGGCTGCGACTTCTATGCGGACTTTGAAACTTAACCTCTTTACCATCCCCTTATTACCAGGAGCCACTGTCCTGGAAACCAGCTCGCTCTTTTATGTTTCCGCCTCTCTCCTGCGAACCTGTAAAAACCACATCGGACTGACTTATCTGGGGAGTTGAAAAACTTGTAGATATTGACTCCCAAGGATTGCTCAGAGGCTGCTTGAGATATATTTCTAACCCTTCCCCTTCCCCACTCACCAGCATAAACAAAATATTACTGGCATCATGACTATCTCTAGTTTGCTCAAAAATACTTTAAAATCCCTGGAGACAGGAGACCTTCAGATCATAAAGTAAAGACAGACTGAGCGACCCTCATTCAACAAACTTATTTAATTTTCTTGACGTTCATGAGTCCCTTGACTTATTTGTATTTTGCCTTCTATGTTTGAAGGAGGTTTTTAAGAATTAGAGCAGTTGGCTATTTCACTCAAAAATATTACCATGGACTACACCTTGCTTCTGATCAATAAATTTCAAATAACAATTACTATAATGACAGCTCTCTTTAAACAAGAACAACAACAGAGCTGTATTTTTTAAGTCTTGTGGAAAGAGTACCACGTACAGGGGGTCAGCCCTGTCTCTGCCATCACATTTATTACAACAAGCCTGTGATGGGCCACGCTCTCCATAGGCCCCCATCCTTGAGTGGAGAAAACAGTCACACAAACAGAGGATCTCATCATACTGCAGCGATGCTTTGAGGAAAATTATCCACAGAATTCTATGGGTAGGCATACTTGTAGAGACAGACGTGGGTTCAACCCGGAGGACCAGGAGCGCTTGGGCTGAATGTTAAAGAAGACTTTTTAACTAAGATCAGTGATCGCCAGGCGTTAGGGGAAGGGAGGGATGAACTGGCGGAGCACAGCAGATTTCTAGGGTAATGAAACTATTCTGGGTGACACTGTAATTAGGGGAATACATGTCATTACACAGTTGTCCACACCCAGAGGATGCACAACCGTGAACCCTAATGTAAACTACGGACTTTGAGTGATTATAACGTGTCAGTGTAGGATCATCAGTTGTAACAAACGTCCCACTCTGGTGGGAGAAGTTGATAATGCAGTATGCTGTTCGGGGGCGTGGGGATGGTTATGAGGGAGCTCTCTGTACTTTTCACTTAATTTTGCTGTGAACCTAAACTGCTCTAAAAAATAAAGTATTAGAAAGAGTTCCATGGCAAAAAACCATTTCATCATCATTCAGTTTGCAGAGTATAATGCTTAACTTGATAGGGCTTGCCCTAAATGGATAGCTTGGCTTTGTACATAAAGAGACCAAATTACATTCCAACATCTATCACATTCTTTTGGGCTCAGGCCCCAAAGGCCTATATGGAAAGGAAAAATCCCAGAGGAGGAAAGGCAATTATACAGCATTAACACCTTAGCAGACTATCTGGGTCCCCTGTGTGGTGCTGGTGATGATGATGATGATAATGATGATGATGTGGTGTGTGATGGGGGGGGGGGCAGGAGTGGCATTTCCTAATGAGGAATTAGCTGATTTTCTTCTGCCCTGATTACAGGATAAAGGAAACATAGTTGGGAAGAAAATCCATTTCTCTGGATAGTCCACTGCTGATCCCAAACAGATAAAAAGCTTCTCTAGTGAGCCCATTCTCTTAACCGGAAGCAGGTCCTCTCACAGTCCGAATGGACTTCCAACTGGGATCTGTTCTTGGCTGGGCTCCTCCGGGCCGGCAGAGGCACCTTTCCTCTTAGTGTGATGGCCCTTCCTAGTATTACAATCCAAAATGACAAGTTTACTGTGTCAAACACATCTCTGATTCACAGGACATTGCTCTTCACACTAGCATAAATAAAACCCAAATAGTTCCGAATACAGAAGGTCATCAAAATAACATCATTGCTAGTAAAGCAGCTGCAGGATTTCACAAACAAAGCCACATGTTCATTTTTTATACACAGATTGCTGCCTGCCCCCAACTGTCCTCCTCCCCACAACGCATCCCCATCCCACAGTGTGAAGGCTCCAGTCTCATTATAATAAAAGCTAAGTCCACTGCAGGATGGAGGAAACATCAATAGGTTCTTTTCAAATTATACTCACCCACGCCCTTCATCCACACATAAATTTTGATAAACTCTGACATCTTTCTTCCTTTTGGCTACACCCATAGCTCCCTCCAACATGGGGAAATCATGGCGCAGGAGATGAAGTGACAGGAGGGTATGACATCCCTCAGGTCTCATGGGAAGAAAACACTGGGAATTATAGTCTACGTATGGATTTATTTTCAATAAGTCAGGAATTAGTTATATTGTTCTTTTGCAGTTGGAGAGTAGAGAACAATGAGATGTTACCCAAAGACCATAGGTTCTCTACCAATATGTACCCTTCTGTTTCTTAATGGGTCCAGAGTAGACTCATTCCCCTTTTCCTCAAGTTACTAATATGATTATTTGAAGAAAGGTAGACCAGACACCCAAACATTCCACTCCTAGGTACATACCCAAGAGAACTGCAAACATATGTCCTCACAGAAACTTATACACGAAAGTTCTCAGCATCATTCTTCACAACAGCCAAAAAGTTTAGGCAACCTAAACATCCATTGGTGGATGAATGGATAAACAAAATGTGATACATCCTTATAATGGAATATTATTTGCCCATAAAAAGCAATGAGGTACTGATAGATGCTACAGCACGGATGAACCTTGAAAACAGCATGCTAAGTGAAAGAAGCCAGGCATGAAAAGGACAAATATTGCATGAGTCTATTTATATGAAATGGTCAGAACAAGCAAATCCATAGAGAGAGAAAGTAGGTTAGTGGTTGTCTGGGGCTGGGAGAGAGGGGTGTAGGGGTGAGTGCCAATGGGTATGAGGTTTCTTTTTGGGAAGACTAAAATATTCTGGAGATAGTGGTGATGGTTGCACAACTTTGTGAAGATACTAAAAACCATTGAATTATACTCTTTAAAAATGTAAACATTATGATATGGGAATTATATCACAATTAATAAAAGAGAAAGAAGGCATTAAGATGGGTCCTGAAATACCTCTTCTATGTGTCCTTTGTTCCAAATGTTAATGACATTGCCTTCAAATATTGGCTCAATAGAAGTAGATATGGGGAGTATTAACATTCTTGTCTTCAAATGTCCTGCCTAGCTCTAGCCCTGAAAGCCAGTTCCACAGGGCACTGAGGAGGTGACCACAAATATCAGAGAAAGCTGGTGAAAACCCACCTACTAAAAACC